GCGTAGGGCGAGGACCCGTCCATCGCCGCTTGCGACTTTAATTTCTGCATGTATTTATCATATAAACAGTTTGTTGTTCTCTGCCTTTGTGCATTTTCCAGTAACATCAGAACAACACTGAGTCCAACCTGCTTTACATGATCCATGATGCGGCTGTTGAAAGGATTCATTATTTACTTTTTACTTTAACTTCTTCTTTTGATCGGCACAAAAGGAAGCAATGCTTTCACCTGGTTGCTCATTATCTGGGAGAGAGCCGTCTATGTGGAGCTCTCTGTGAATACAAGGCGATGAAAAGCTGTACCAACAGTTCTGACATCGCATTCTCCACAGTAAGGGTCACTGCACACAAACCAACGGTGACCGGAGCATTTCAGGACCATTACGGTGTGTTTTCCTGTTAAACATGCAGCGCTCATGCTCCCTCTGTTGGCTGCATGTTTGCTCAGGAGGATTTATTTTGTGGGAAAAGGCCAAATAAAGCATCCATCCGTCCTTTATCTACACAGCTTCATCCTCTGCAGGGTCCAAATAAAACATGCTCTTTGTAAAACCGTGAATTCCATCTTAAACTCATTACTTCTCGTTTTTGTGGTTTGTGTGTGTGTGTGTGTGTGTGTGTGTGTGTGTGTGTGTTGCAGAGCTGAGGTCTGTGCAGGAAAGCGAGGAGCTGATGGTGAACGTGGCCGCCGCCATCAACAACCTGTCCTTCTACCAGGAGGACGGCTCTCCCATCAGACGCCATCAGCTCGCCATCGCAAAGCGTAAGATCATTAAAGCCAGAGAGAAATGGAAACTAATTCTTGAGAAGTCCCGTGTTATCCTCCAATGAGTTTTTCTCTGAACTTCAGTGATGCTGAAGCTGGTGTTCAGCTCCAGTATGGACGCCATGCTGGAGGCCACCCGCGTCTACGGAAACTTGTCACAGTCCAAGGAGGTGCGAGAATTCATCGTCCAACACAAAGGTACACACTGAACACAGACACAGAAACAGCTTTCTTTAAACTACCTTCATCTTTGAACCCTGCTTACTTCATTTTGTTGTAGTAGCACTTTTAGAATCACGTTTCCATCCATTTAAAGCCTAATCAGACTAGAAACAGACAGGAAATGTTGAGCTAGACTGCAGAGGAATGACATGAATTAAAGGCCTGTCCAGCTGGGAAACAAACCAGGAAGTCACTGCTGCAGTTGCCCCCAGGTGGGAAAAGCCTTCCCAGCATACCTCATGTTAGCATACAGACATACTGCTTTAATCAGATCATTCATGCACATCGCTGTACAGAAAACCCAGTTCTTACTTGGCCCTGAGCAGCCACCACAGCACACCTCTGTGTCATGTTTAGGCTGGACTAATGTGCAAGGCCAGCTCCAGTCAGGATAAACATGGCTGCTGACTGCGCTGATAGCAGCTCTCTTATCTTTGCCCTGCTTCGTCCTCGCCCTCACCTCCTCATCCCTCTCTGCTCTCCCCCTCAGTGCACCGCTTCACGGTGACGCTGCTCGACTCAAAGAGCGCTGAGATGTGTTTTTCAGCCTGCGGGGTCCTCATCAACCTGACTCTGGACCCTCCCAACAGGGCCTGTCTCTCACTGGAGGGGGCTTCTGCAAAGTAAGAACGAATGCACTTAGCCGACAGGAGTGCATGTGTGTGAATGTGTGTGTCAGTGTGTTTGTGTTCAGGCCGTACAGCGCAGCTTCATGTTGCATTTGAAAGACAGTTTACAGACTTTCCACTAAATATCAGTCTAGAAAGCAGCAGCTACTGTGTCTACATCAAAATAAGGATCACAACATGAAGAAGCCTGAAACACACACAGCAGTTTGACATGTTGGTGCTCAAAACTCAAATCAGAATCCGTTTTATTACCAAGTAGGTTTTTGCATCGCAGGAATGTGACTTAGTGATTCGGTGCATTAAAGTAGGATGAAAGACAAGACAGCAGGTGTTGCATCAGTGGACAGTCGATCCAGAGACTTAAAGAAAAGGTGACGGAAACATTTACCATGTGCAAAAAAACTAACATTTAAAAGTAAAAGACTGAATTATCTTTATTATGTTATTGTGGTTGCTTTAATCTACATTTTGTGCCAGTTGTTGAGATTACTGGTGAATCACTAAAAGGTCGCTCTGTGGCAAACAGAAAGGAGGAAGGATGGCATCTGAGGAAATGTGGCTTCATGCTGAGACCAGCTGAAGGTCTGTGTGGGAACCACACGGCTGCAGCCACCAGACTGAGAGGAACAGAAGAACAACGATAGATGCTTGGGTCTCTCTGAAGGAAAAACTTCCCTCCACAGAACAGCCAAAACGTAGAACCTAGAGGATGTGGTCTGACGTGGGCTCATGTACAGATGGTTACCTTCAGGCAGAGGAGCTGCTTCCAGGCTTTATGCTAAGCTAATCTGACCAGCTGCAGCTTCATCTTTAACAAACAAACACCAGAGTGAAATCAATATACGGATGTAACTCTCTCCAGAACTAAATGAATAAACACATTTCTGGCTACGATTGCATAAAGTTTATTTTGGGAGAGAAGTCTGGTCTTTGCTCTGACAAACAGCTGCTCTGGTACAAACAAGACGCTCTCAGACCATCACGGGCCTCCAGCTCCACCAGCTCTGGTTCGCTGGAAGCCTTTTTTAATCATCTATGGAAACGTAAAACAGTGTTTGTGAAACGTTCTATAGACGCATCAAGTACTTCAGAGAAGGTTTTTTATGTCGTCTGTGGAGCAGCTTTTTGCACAAGCGTTGAATTTGAAGCAATGTTTGGAGGAAAGTATCTCCAGAATTATTTAAGATAAAAGTCTGAATGTTTGCAGTAATTTCTCATCACAGCATCATGTTTAGAAACTACAATACTGGACAGGTAAATATAATTTAATTATGAATGACCTGAAACATGGAGAGAGAGGAAAGGAAGTGGTCATGAAAGGTCACATCAACATGGCATCAGTCGGCTGGTGATCTTTTGTGAACCGTATGAAGCTGCACGTCACAGGAATACAAAACAAAATGCACAGAATACTTTTTAATAAGAAATAGTCACAAAAATGAAGTTATTTTTGTTGACTTTTCACAACTGATTAACAAAGTAAACCTGAACTCACATCACATCTGCTATGAAGTGGTCAGTTTTTATACATCCGGCTCAGATTTCATTCATATCTTCATAAATGTTCATTATTTATGCTGTAAGAGCTGCAGATGGGTCCAGCAGAGATTAGAAAATGTTCTGATTTGAGACAGAATAAACCAGCGACTAATTATCTAAAGCTACACGTTGTTTGTTCATCATCAAACTTTTATGTTCAAATTCTGACTTATGAGAACTTCATGAGGACCGGAACAAGTTTGATTCTCTTCTATCTGTAGCGTCGTCGTCCTGCTTTCAAAGGACGGCATTGTTTAAATATGTAGTACACACACACACACACCCACACACACACACACAGTCCGCTTTCAGATGAAGGTCCAGTGAAGTGGTGCTAATGTTCACAAACCTGGTGGTCATGTGGATCCCCCTCCTCCAGTCATATGATGTGTGTGTGTGTGTGTGTGTGTGTGTAACCAGGCTGCTGGACTGTCTGACAGACCTGGGTCCAGGTGACTGGCAGCTGGCGGGCCACGTCTGCCAGGCCATGTGGAACCTGACCGGCGGCTGCTCAGAGTCTCTGCTGGAGGCGCAGGAGAGCGAATGGCTGCTGGAGATCCTCACCACGTACTCAGGTTGGTCTGACTGCTCATCCTTACATCACCAGGGAGGGACACACGCTGGAAAGAACATGTTCTTGTTCACAACAGAGGCCCTCGAGGGGAAGGGAGGGTCCACTGGCTTTCTCTCTGTCATGAACACAATACGTCCACGGTCACATCTGGAAGCTGCCCCGGCACAGGACGGGTCTCTGGAAGGTACTGAAAATAAACCTGAAGCCTCTCACTGCTCTCTCTCTGTCCACTCTTTTTCACTAACTCCTCAGATGAAGAGGAGGCCCTGAAGTGGATAGAAGATGAAGATGAGAGGGACTTCCACAGGGCATGCTGGGAGTTGCAGTTCCTACCTGTTGCTCAGAAGCTGATGAAGGCGCTGCAGCGTCCGGACCCGACAGCCTGAAACACTCGTAGTTCAGAGCTTTAGACCGGTTTGCCTTATAAAGACACTGAATTTATATTTTATCTCCAAACACTCACCTCCTGTGGCTTTGTGAAGAGGCTTGTTAGGTTTTGTTTTTATGGAGGAAACAAGTGAGTCTGAATTCAGATCAGTGACCTCAGCGATGAGCTGTGAAGTCAGAAAAAGTACCAAGATTCCCAGAGAAGCGTCTCGACTGTAATCCTCTGAATATGCCCAGTATGCTGCAATCAGTCAACATTTTGCCACCTCATGACTAACTACTATAAAGCTGAGTGCAGCTGCTGTTTTTCACAGAGGATGAAGTTACAAACGTTTTACAGCCAGTTTTAAAGGCTGCAGATGGTCGACGTGAAACACTCACAGCACGGACAAAAGAGCCCCGGCCTCAGCTTCACTTCTAGTTATGGTCCTTATGCACATTACTGGAAGGTAAAATATATATGTATATATATATATATATATATATATAGGTGAAAAGATTTGTTTTTCCAGATCTGTGTACTCTGTAATACGCAGGGACCCGTTTGAATTTCCATCCATGTTTAATTTGTGTTTATCTGTTTTCTGAGCTCCATATTTTTTATTTTTTATTTTGTGAAGATTATCTTGAGCCTTTACGTGCACTTTAACTTTACTTCCACAAAGCCTGCTGAAGCATTCAGTTCTGGGTACCTTTACATATAAAACACAAACCTTTGTACATTTATACTGACTTGCGCTGTTCTGTACGTAGGTTCTGTTATAACCGGATCAGATGACTGACCTGGATTTTTACCTCGTAACTAAACCTTTTATTGTCTGTGAATTGTGTGAAGTTTGAACTTGTACATAATAAAACACAGCAAAGTGGAAGAAGTGTTTGTTGCTTCTCAAAGCCTTTATTAGACACAGATATGGGGCCAGGCAGTGCTTATAACACCAAGTAGCCAGAGTACAGCATTTCAAAATCACATCGTTATTACATCAAAAGAAATCAGAAACGGCACTTAATGTAAAACCCACAGCGTCCCCAGTTCTCACACAGCAGTGACCTTAAACAACCACAAGACGGGCCGGTGCTTCAGAACCCCTGAACCCTCAGACACTGTTCAGGTTGATATGAAGGACAGGTGGCTGGCGGATATTAAAAAACACTTTCCTGTTCCATAAGTTGTCTGAAATTGAAAGTCACAGAAATGTGAGGAGAGTTTGGTCAGCGAGGAGTTGGTGCTGGTGACTGACCAGTACTGACCAGTACTGACCAGTTCTGACCGACTGGCCTCTGAGGCCTCGGTGGGAAACACCCTGACTACAGACAGGCTACCAGCTTCACCTGGGAATCGAAGCTGCTTTTCTCCAGGTCAGGTGTGACATGGGGAGGGCGGGGATAAAAGGAAAGCGAAGTACGGTGTCCTACCAGAAACTTCCCCCTTTATCTCGATTGTTAGTCAGGACCAAACGGAAACTCTGACCTGGAGCGCACCAGAGGAAGACCATCGGCTGGCTCGCAGTGAGTCACACAGGTCTGAACAAATACAGTAGAATGAAATTCACATGAAATCCCTGGACTGAGCGATGACAAACTGAACTGGTCCCCTGAGTTCAGCTTGATGAAGTCAGCTTTATTCTCAAAGAGCTGAGTGTACTTTGGAGCAGAAGTAAAACTCCAGGTCTGTTCATGAGTCATCTTTTGCATAACAGCACTCCAGCATGCTTACTAATGATCGCGGGTCATTTAGACGTTTCTTGTGCAGCTGAGCAGTAGAAGTGAGCTGATGGTGATTGTGCTGTGGTCGTGTTGGTCTCTCCACATCTGATACCGTCTCTTTGATGAAGCAAAGAAATTAAATTGTTTAGGAGAAACTACAAATGATACAAAACAATTCAATATTATAGTTTATTTTTTTTCTGTTTTTTTAAATATATTTTCATATAAAAAAAGTGTCAGTAACTGACATCAGTCAGAAGTTTGAAAAAAAAAAACCCTCCACTTCCTCTCAAACCACTTCCAAATGTACCATTCCTTTATCGCCTCCTCCTCATTCACTCATTCATCTGTTCATCCTCTCAGTCCGGCCTCAGAAGAATGCAGTACTTTACTGATTTTAGTAAACAACAACAACAACAACAACAAAAAGAAAAAAGAAAAAAAAAAACAGCAGAGGTTTCACACCTCTGTTCAAATAAAAGCTGCTTTTGCACTGGTTAGACTTCCCCGCAGGGAAATAAGCACAGCTACAACCGTTTGCGTTCGAAAGCCATCGACCGCAGTCGGCCCCGTGTGGGCCCGCCGGGTCGCCGGGCGACCGGAACCCGGCGGCCCAGAAAGAGTCTCTGCTCACCAAAGAGCACTTCTTATATGTTTTATAGAGAAAAACAGAAGAGGTATTTGTTTACTGGTAAAATTCACAATCCAAAGCTCTGAAAGCGTCAGGACGACCAGGCGGCTGGGATGAGCGGAAGACTGACAGGGTGTGGTTCGGGCAACCGGAAGCAAATCCCTCCTGGAAAACCTGGTTTCTAACTTTCTTTTTGATTAGCTTTTTTTTTTTCTTTCCCCCCCCGTTACCATAAAAATAAAGACATCATCAAAAAAAAAAGATGAACAGTTATCTCACAACAGCTACAGCAGAAGCAAGAAGTCTTTCCTTCAAAGTGCCTCGCTTTCTTTTTTTTTTTTTTTTTGACACATGAAATTCCAAGACGTACTTTTTTTTAAAAACTTTTTCTGTGAAACACACAAACATCCACGCCTCAGTCATCACCAACACAGAACTCATCCACACATCTACAGTCAAACTCAAAACGGGCTCAGACAGTGTTCTTTGAGTTTTTTCTCCTCCTCTGGTTTTCACACTCCTGGATTAGCTTACATTGACATTTGAGATTAGGGATCAGGGTAGAGGACAGGAAGGAGGGAGGGGGGTAATGCAGTGGATTTCTAATGGACAGGGGCTTATGTAATGGGGTGGTGGGGGAACTGGGTGAGGGGTGATTTGGGGATCAATATGACCCCACTGAATATAAGATGGGAGCAGCAGCATCAGCACGTATGCACACTGTGCTGGATAGTTCAGGCACACGTTAAAAAAAAAAAAAACACCGCCCAAAGGTAATGCGTCCATCTCCAGTTACCACCAACAGCAACCACATCGACAACAACATCCACTTTCTGATACAAAATGAAATAAAAAGTTATTGAAGAAACTAAACAGATAAAACAGTGACAACAGAATCACAGTGCACACCGTCTGTGGCTGCACAGCTTGCTTTCTGGGATCTGCTCTGGGTCTGGACTCTACCAGGAGACGGGTGAGAACGGCAACCGTGGCGCTGCCAGCTGGAATACTGAAATGTTGTCCTGGATGCCTCCAGTGTCAGTGCTCTGGCACAAACTCCCCAGCAGAGCAGGAATTTGCTACAGGCTGCCCTCTCTTGGTCAGTTTTGGCACTGCAGGCAACACACACTGGGTTTGCGTATCCACTTGTAGTCTGAGATGATTTTTCTCCAACAGTTCTCTCTTTTTTTTTTTCTTTTTCTTGCTTTCCATTTGTTCTGATCCTCTTCTCAACATCCAGCGTCACAACCCAGGGCTCTCGCTTCCACAGTTTTGTTAAATCCCCCCCTTTGATTTTTTTCTTTATGTGTCCCATAATGAGCAACAACAATGACAGTAAAAAGACAACGATAAAAACGCCAAAAGCACTTCATGTCATGTAGCGGGTGATCGCTCTCAGAGCGTATAACAGTTCTGCTTGCATTCGCGCTTCCATAAGAAGCAGATTAACGTGGACCTGCAGAGGACAAGAGACAGAACAGAGACGATATTAAAACACTGTAGCGTCGGTAACCACATGAAAACAGCTGCAACCAGATCAGAGCAGAACAGTCAGGTTTGAATCTCACCTTCTCGGAGTGCTGAAACTGCCTCCAGAAACTCTCATACATTCGTTTGGTGGTCTTCTCAGGACTACACACCATGGTCTTGATGTAGATCTTAAAGCTACGGTCCAGCAGCTGGTTTATCTCCCCGTAATCGTAGTCGTCATACCTGAAGACACAGAGGAACAGCGTGACCAACGAGGACACAGAGCGACACAGAGCTGAAGGAGAGAGGTTACATCATCTGGACGTTCAGAGCTCTGAGTGTCCAGTGACTGACCTGATGCCAAACATGCAGTGGATGTAGTTCCAGATGGCCCTGCGCAGCATGCTGGTGTCCACGTCCTTATGCGTTGCCATGGTGTTGTAGGTCAGGTTGTAGGCCATCTGAAACTTCTCGTCCAGCATCTGACCGACATCGGGATACAGCCGGTTGACCAGAGAGAAGCCGTGGTCCTCCCAGCTGTAGTCCTGCATCACAAACACTGAGTCAGTACCGTTCAGGTGGACTAACTGCCCCTCTGTGTGACAGACAGACTCTGTGTGATCTCTACCTGCACTCTGAACGTGGGCACGTGCTCCCCCCTCCTGGAGAAGTCCTTGTAGCCGTAGCTGGGGTCCTCAAAGTGGCGGGAGATGTCTCTGGAGGGGACACACTCCTCGTCCTCTGCCGTGACCACCAGCATGCTCTCGGTCTTCTCCCTCTCGAAGCGAGTCGCCATCTCCTCCTGGCTGGCCTCTTCGTCATCGCGACACTCCTGCAGCTGCTTCATCCTCTCCATCAGCACCTCCACCTCGCCGCACATGTCCTGCAGAAGCAACAGCACATCAGCCGCTGCCCCGATTTCACTTTCACACACGAGTAAGAAAACGCTCACACGCTCTCAGTTCCATCTCCGTCTCTCCGTCACCACTCACCTGGTTGCCCAGCAAGTCGTCATGGTGATTAGCGTGACCGTTGCCGTTGGCAATGTCACACACGCAGTACTGGCTGAGGGAGGGGGGTCTGAACGTGTGTCCGCCGTCGCAGTGGATCTCGGGCGTGATGCCGCAGCCGAAGGTGAAGGAGGCGAGGGAGTGGTAGTGTGTGAGGAGGACCACGGCGTGGATCAGCTCTGCCAGGGACCAGCTGTGCTCCTCGGCCTTCAGAAGGCGCTGCAAGAAGGAAAAAAAACACACAAAGGAAAAACTGTGAGCGACGTTCACTCAAAGCCAAATAATGACTTCAGTATCTCTGACCTTTTAGGAAGTGGGAAATTATGTGTTCATCCTTCAAATTAGTCTCTTTTTGTTTTCCAGCCTCAGCCCCATCACTGTCAGGCGCTACACCTCCACCGCTGGGAGTGTCCAAGTCACACAGCTGCAGCTACACTGCAGCCCCCACCCATGATCTCAGCCCCTTACATCAGGCCGCTCACGCCCACATCCACCCTCCACGCCGTGCCCGTCCTCTCACCTCAATGTGTTCCTTGGTGAGAAGCCATGGTCGGTGGGCCAGGATTTTGTTGAGCTCTCCGAGCTGCTGCAGCTTCTGCGGGGCTTCGTCCAGGCCGTTGAGCCACTTGGGATCGCCCCCGACCTGGAGGAAGTCGTTCACGTGCAGGTTGACCAAGTAGGAGCACTGGTGCCGAGCTGCCGCCTGCCGGGTCGGGGGAACAGACAGCGTTAACCGCCACATGTTTAACTAGGTGACATGAAACCTGAGCATTCAGAGGCTGGATGCGGCCGTACCATGATGCCGATGTAGTGTCGGTAGTGCAAAGAGAGGGGCCCGTCCATCTGCAGCAGGTAGTGCTGCGTCCGGAGAAAACTCTCCAGGTACTGCGGGTGGAAGCCCATCACCAGGGAAATGTTGTCCAGACGACCGAGGGCTGCAAACGCATCCTCAAATATCGACTGTGTCCTGGCGTCCACTTTACTGACTTGAAGAATCTGATGGAACAGATTGGAGATCATTACACTCTGTCCACTCACGTCTGCAGCAGAGGAAACATGTCTGGTGAGACCACATACCTCTTTTTCAGGGATAAATCTGCTTGGTCCGTTACCTAGAGGTCTTGGGATCCGCACTCCCAAGTCCTGCAAGACACACAAAAGGAGAAAAAAAAAATCTGTTTAAATCTCCGCATGAAAGCAGAAGATCAGGACTTCTCATTTCTATTTTCTGCCACCAGTGAGAGGAATCTGACTGCAACACCAGAACCAGAACATCACAAAACAGCTCGAAGGAAGGTCTGGTCAAACACACACAATTCTAATTAAACTCATAACTAATGACACAGGTGGTGACAGTTGGTCCTCACACACACTACAGCCCAGATGGACACGGGCTCTGCTCTCAGCCTAACTTGTGCTGCGTGTCGGGACATGTCCAGCAGCGGACAATGAGGCGCATGAAGCGGATGAATGAATGACGGTGAAATGAGCAATAATCCGGAGTGACACCGCTTTAAAAACCCTCTCTGTGTGTGTCACTGAAGGGGGATCGGGTCAAAACTGAATCTAGACAGAACCACGAAGGGTTTTTCTGCCCGATGATCAGAAACTCTGTGACTCGTAAACAAGTCCGGACAAAGGCAGAACCGCAGCTGTCTGTCTGTCAGGAGCCCAACGTCGCTCAGAAACATTCAGACTGGTTTCTGGACCCAAACAGCACCGCAGCGTTCACACACGGAGCTGATGGAGGCGAAAGTCTTTTCTGTCTCTTACCTTTTTGCTCAGCCGTTCACAATGGGTGCATATCTTTAACAGGTCTGTCACTGCGAAACAAGTATTTTCCACTGTTTGTGCAGGTGCGACGGCGTGCCTCATGTCGTGTCCTCGCGGCGCCCTGCTTCTTTTAGAGGGTGTAGAAAAAATACGTCGCTTTTTTATTTAAAAAAATCTAAAGTGATGGCTGTTTGCTCCTCTCTTTGTTCCTGGAGGCACTGGGCAGAGTGCTCAGTAGTCAGCTGTTGCAGCCCCGCAGCAGAATACCGACCTCTCTCGCTCATACATTCGGTAAATAAGTCGAGGCTCGTGTGATTGACGCGCTCGGCGGCCAATCAGGTGCCGAAAACAGCCTCCCGGCGGCCAATGGCGGCGGGAGGAGCGAGCGGGGGGCGGAGCCAGGAGTGAAGAAAGAGGGGGGTCCTAAACGTGAGCTGAGAGAACAATTCCCCCTCTAAGAAAACATCATCACTTCTCTCCTTTTGTTCCTGCTGCTGCCGCTGATCAGGATTCAATCCACTGCTCTGTGTGCAAACTAAAGCAATCACTTCAAGCTGATTGCTGCTTAATTTTTTGCCCCTAAATCAATAATTTAATCTGCTTTCATGGCACTGAGAAAGCACACTGCAGGAATACTGGAAATAGCTGGAGGGGTGGGGGGGTGCTATCTGTGCACTATGCATTCAGTGAAAACAACAACAACCCCAGATCCAGATCCAGCTCCAGCAGGCAGCTGCAAGTCCCCCTGTTGGCTTCTTGCTATATTGGAGGAGAAGGAGGAGGTGGGGGGTGTAAACTGAGCCCCCACCAGCTCGCCTTGGTGGAGGAAAAAAACAAGGTAGAGATCCACCGTGCAGAGATCAGCATCAGCACGCAGCGAGATGGATCGCTGCAGGACCTGCTGCTGCTGCAACAACAGCCCTTCAGTTAGTGGTTTTGCACCGCAGCCTATCAGACCACAGATTCCTCCACCAATCAGGCCCCACTCAAGGAGTCCTCTAAGAGCCAGGAGGAAGCAGAGATAAGGAAGGCAGCTCTTATGGCTTTGTTTATCCCAGCTTGACAATAACCTGTTCAGTGGAACAGGGTACAACTGGTTTATCGCTCCGCCGTCGTTACAGAGTCAATAAGAACTCTGAATTACATCTGCTGAGCTGATCTGACAGCAACACCACGTACTGCACATTTTATATGGCGCTGGAATATCCCCCTGGTTTCATTCAGACATGTTTCTGGCTCCACAGACAGCAGACGAGTGTTTGAATGTCCTGGAAACAACAGAGAAACTGATTTTCTTACAGTGGCACATGCGAGTCAAGTGTTGTTTCCTCTGGATTGCCAACAACCACATCACA